CTTTCCCTCCTTTTCCTGCCTTCTCTTTTCTCTTTCTGCCTCCTTCTCAGGATAAGGCTGCTGTTCAGTGCTGGCCAAAAGTGGAAACGAGTCTGGTCGATATCACTGTAAAATAAAAGTCCTGCAGCACCTGAAAGACAAGCAATGTTTGTTTCACTACGGGCTGTCTGCTTCGTCAGACAGCTACGTGATGGGAAATTGTACTGGGGAACGTTATGGGGCAGGAGGAGGATGGGAAATTGTACTGGGGAACGTTATGGGACAGGGGTGTGTGAATTGCACTACCTGCTCTTTCTACATCAACTCCTCCCTTTCCCGCTTACATTGAGATTGACGCTTGAAAGGTTTATTGTGTAATTCGCACCAAACCTTCACTCGTTCCCCGCCCCCATGCCCCGTAAAATTTCTCCGGGAGCTGGAGGCTAAAAAAACCTGTGAGCTAGCTCACACTAACTCAGCTTAGAGGGAACACCGCTGATGGGGTGGGTTGTGAACCAGAAAAACTCACATGGAAACACTCACCACTAGTCATTAGGGGGAGCCTCGGATTCTTGTTTCATTTTGCTGCATGAGACTGGCATGCCCCTCCCCCTTTGCAGTCTGACATAATTGGGGCTTCCTTTTGAAGTCAGTGGACCAGATCCACACCCTTATTGTGCACCCTCGAGATTCAGAGGGCCCCGCCCAGCTCGATCTCATCCGATCTCAGAAGCAAAGCCGGGGCAGCCCCTGGTTAATTCTCAGATGGGGGGACCGCCCAGGAATTCCAGGGCTGCTGTGCCTTGAAAACCCTCTGAGGGGGTCGCCATAAATCAGCTGCATTTGGATGGCACATCCCAGCCCTGTGGCTGAGCTGTATTCAGAGAGCTTTTAGCCCTCTACAGTCTTATCTTGACTTTAGGCCAGAAGTCCTTCGTAAATTCCTCTTAGTAGACGTTCAGAGCTCAGTGACTTACGCTGTGGCAAAATTTTGTTGCTTAGCTACTAGGAAACGTAAACTTATTTTAGCTGAAAAAAATTGTATGATTCTCTTTTTAACATTATTTTATGTTACTAACTTTATTAACTTTCTCTTGTTTATGTTTTTATACTGTTCCCATGTTATTACTTTTTTTAATAACTCCGATTCTGTTAAATTTTCCAGGCAGATCTGATGAATTTAATATCTCCCTCCCCCCTTTCATATTGTTCTAACAAAATCACCTCTAAGGTGGCCAAATTTTGCCCCTCGGCAAGATCACCAAGGAAGCAGCTGGTCAAGTCTTCTTATTAATTGTCTCTACTATTGAAATCAGCCTGCCATGCTGCCTGGAAATTTTATTGTTTGTAAATGTGCTGGTAACTATGAGTGTCAATCGTGACTGATCTATGATTGTAACTAATAAAGAAAGAAAGAGATTTTGAGTGCCTTTGCATCGAGCAAGAAAAAGGGGGGTTATACTGGTGCTGCATCCCGTCGTCGACGACTAGCACAGTTAACTGTGTTTTGCCTCTTCAGATGAACCCACAGCAGGTCCAGGCGCAACAGCAGACGTCGCAGCAGCAGAAAGTTGCCTACGCCACGCAGCCAGCTATCAAAACGCAGTTCCTAACGACTCCCCTTTCTCAGGCCCAGAAACCTGGTGGAACCCAGCAAGTCCAGACCCAAATACAGGTACCAGGAAACCTTGCTTCCCCCCTTCCCCTTCTTTGGAGTTGGTGGTCAACACAGACTGTCCAGAAGACAAGTGCCTCGGACATATGGGGAAAGGACAGAGGAGGGCAACCCAGATGGTTAGGGGGTTGCAGCACCTTCCCTGTGAGAAAAGGCCGAAGAGTCTGGGGCTTTTCAGTTTAGGAAAGAGATGACTTGGGGGGGGGGGTTACACGTGATAGAGGTTTATAAAGATCGGCTCGGGGTGGAGACAGTTGACAAAGCAAAGTCTTTCTCCCTCTCCCAAAATGCTAGAGATCGAGGGCATCCAGGGGAGCTGATGGGCAGTAGGTTCAGGATGGACAAAAGGAAACACTTCTTTACGCAGAGGGTGATTCAAATGTGGGACCCGCTGCCAAAGGATGTAGTGATGGCCACAGGAATAAACAGCTTGAAAAGGGGATTAGATAGATTCATGGAGGATCAGTCTATCAAAGGCTACTAGCCATGGCGACTGAGGGGGAACCTCCACCTTCAGAGGCACTAAGTCTCTGAATCCCAGAGCCAGGAGGCAACATCAGGGGAAGGCCTCGCCCTCTGTGCCCTGTTGTTGACGGTCCAGAGGAATTGGTTGGCCACTGTGTGAGACAGGATGCTGGACTAGATGGGCCACTGGTCTGATCCATCAGGGCTCTTCTGATGTTCTTATATGCTGCACTGACTCAGCATCCTTCTCCCACCTCCCCCCAATGAATCAATGTGGGCCCCACAGCCTGAAAACAAATATTTGCAGAACTGAAGTTGCATCTTAACCCCAGACCCTTGCCCTTCCGTCCTTCCCCCCATTGTATCATTCTTAAAGGTCGCAAAGATTCCACAGGTGGTCTCACAGCAGGGAGCCGTGGCCAATATTCAGCAAATGGTGTCCGTTTCCCAGCAGGTAAGACGCACGGGAATTGTTTTAGTTAGCTGTGTGTACTCCACGTGTTCACTTTCAGAACTGTGTAAATTAGGAGGTCTATGTAAGCTGTGTAATGTCAGTTTTCTCCTCCTCCAGGCAGTTTTAAATTGTTGATTTTAAATTGGTGGGTTCCTGTGTCTTTTACTGTGTTTCATTGCGGTTTGCATCATAAGCTGCCTTGAGTCCCTGTAAGGCAGAAAAGCAGCTAATAAATGTTTTAAATGAAGAAACAGTCAGACCCTAGAGTTGGTTGCGTTTGCTGCAGAATTGTTTGCACATTCTGTTTATGTTCATGTCCTATCCGTGGTCCTGGATGCGAAATACACAAACCGATTCCAGGACATCCAGTGTGACTGTTTCTACTTTCGCAATGTTTGGGGGCTGTGAGCAGAGAAGCATAGCCTGTAGGAGAAGGACTGGGTGAGCTAAGCCTCTCTTTGTTTCTTTCCCCCCCCCCCCCCCCCCAACTCTCCCAGGTTCAAGCTCAGCCGCAGACAGTGACCTTGTCCCAGACAACGGCCGGACAGCAGCAGGTCCAGGTGATCCCGGCCACCACCGCTACCGCTCAAGTGGTCCAGCAGAAACTGATCCAGCAGCAGGTGGTCACGACAGCGTCGCCCCAGATCCAGGGCCCCGGGGTACCCAACCCGTCCCCGGCCCCTGCCGACAGCCAGACTCAGCAAGCCAAAGTGCAGATGAGGGCCCCGGTCCGATTAAAGGCACCCAGCAAGCCGAGTTGAGCGTCAAGCTTGAAAGCGGGGAGGCAGGGGAAACGCAGCTCCCTTCGTGCTTTCCGCGAGCGTCAGGCGGGTTTCTCGCAAGATCCACCTCTTCCACAAGGCTGCAAGTCTTCTCCGTGTGTATGGAAAGATCTTGGACAGCAGCTGCTTCTGCGGTGAACCTCTTCCCAGCTGGAACGTGTTTGGGGGGTCCTCGCTTCCTTGTTGTTCCAAGAGAACGCCCACCTGTTTTTCATTTGCTTGTTCGAACCATATAGCGTGCAAAGATTCGATCTTTGCTTATTTCCACCAAAATGTAACAATGGGGTTGTTTTCAGGTGTCTGTAGAATTTTGTCTGCGTATTCTAGACGATTGTTCTCACTGCCAGAGGGGGGATCGTACTGCGAGCGTGGGCTTCCTGTGCCCTGAGAGGGCAGCAGGGGACCCCTGATAGCACTTGGCCAAACTGCCCTCTCTCTAGTTCCTCGGAAGTTGTGGTCTAAGCGGGCCTTTTGTCGAATGGGGAGCGGCGGGCAAAAACGGACAAAGCGGAAGCATTCCCTGCTACGTTAGCCAATAAATGTGAAAGATTTGTAAATATCTGTAATTACAAACCATATTCCAGGCTTCATTTTTGGTAAGTCTTTTTAATGAAACATTTGCTAGTTTGGATTTTTGTTGTTTGTTTTGTGTGTGTTTTTTTAATTTGGTGTACAGTTTTTTGAGTCCGGCCCCCCCCCCCCCCCGGTCCCTTAGGCTCTCGTTTTCCATTTTTTTTCCGACATACTGACTATTGTAGGCATGTTGGTTTTTGGAGACAAAAAAAAAAAGAGAGAGAAGAATACTGTGTGATAGTGGCCGTGTGTGTTGAATTGTAACTCCCCTCCCCCTCCCCACACCACCTTTATTTGTAAAAGAAAATGGCTTGATGAATATTGCTAAGCAAGTATGGGGTTGTTGGGGTTTTTTTGTTGTCCTTGGTTGTTGTTTTGTGTGCGTGTGTGTGTGTGGGGCATCCCGACCTTGGTGGGGGAGGGATGAGGCAGATCTCAGTCCCATGTAAGTTTTGCACTTGCCTTTTGTTCCACGTTTGCAGAGCCATTTTGTTTTTTGGAAACGTTCACGTTAACCCTTTCTGCTCTGGAGGAAGAAATGGAAAGTTTTAAGTCTAATCGGACCCTTCAGCCAGGCAAAGAATAAGGTTATCGCGTTCCTTTCCTAAAGGTTTTTTTGGGGCAAGTATTTGAGTTGCTAATTCTGCAAAGTGGCACACATCACTGTTCCCAGTTGCCGAGCAGGCCGGGATCTATTTAGAATAGCAGTAGCTTTCCCCTCCCCCCCTCTTTATACTGTACAGATCTGCTAAAAAGCAAAGCGCCTTTCTTGGCCATGAACTGGACCATGCTCAGGGCCTTGAGTGAGTCCCCTGCTTTGGCCACTACTCTCCTCAGCAGGCTGTCAGCACAAAAGAGCGTGGCGTATTCAGCGTGGGTGTCTTTGTAATAAGTGGCTTCCTTGAATGGGGGAAATGGCTCTTTTAATTTCCCCCTTCCCCATTTAGCAAGAGAGCCTTGTGTGGTGACACATAAGTCTCAGCCCGTGATCCAAAAGAGAGGAACTGCTGAGCGCAGTTGGGGGCTCATTCGGCCACTTCCGCTGCAGCCTTTCACAGATCGGGAAGGCGAAGAGCTTTGAAAAATTGGACTTCCGTCCTGGTGTTGACTCCAGCGCAAGTCCCTACCCAAAGCTCACGGTTCCGTTGGTCATCCACAACTACTTGCAGATCGTGGTCCATCAGATGTCTCATTGATATAGATGTGGGGTCATTGGCCTGACAGACCTACCGATGGTATCTGAGAACCCGTCTTCTCTGCAGCGCTCCTACCCCTCCATTCATCAACATGTTTTCCTCCAGCTGCGTGTTGCTTTTCTCGGAGGCTCGTTTTTATACGGCTATCACGTTTGTGCTCGTTTGTTGGATTCTTCGTACCAGTGCTGTTTTTGAACCCAGTCCCCAAACTGTATCGCTTTGTGTTTTGGAGAGCTGCTGATATGTGGAGCAGTAAGTCCAGACAATTGCAGACATGGGGGCAGAAACTGCTGGGAATGTCTTCCCGTGCAAGTTCCACGAAATGCAGGAGCCTTTGCAGAGAAGCGGAGTTGAGATTCAGCACTGCTCCCATTCATTTCAAGTGAGATGTGCACAGGAATGCAGTTCTCAGCAGATTGCTCCCTGTTTCTGTACGCTATACTGACATTCATCTGTTTGTTTTAATGTGTTAGGTAGCCCTGGTTTTACTGCTGATATTTTCTGTCTTAACTAAAAAAATCCTGCATGAACTTAATGTAACGTACAAAGCAGAGGTACACCCGCCCCCTGCCCCCCCCACTTGATAGTGTCCATGTTCTGTTTTTGATTACGTCGGAAGCCATTTCTGTTTCCCCATACAGAGAAGACAAACATTTAGATTTCTCCTCCCCCTCCCTTTCTTCCTCCCTCCACCTCCAAAGTGTGATAGAAACTTGTAAATACCTTTATGAACATAACACATTTGTACTTGACCCAGTAGGATTGTAAGGACTTGTGCTGTATCCTACCTGAAGGTGTAATAAAGTGTACATTTGTATAACATCCTCCGTGTCGTTTGGTCTGAACCCCGGGGTCCTCTGACGTACCGCTCTTTCCAAGAGCAGCTGACCACCCACACCAGGATATGAATGTTGGTGGACTTCCTATGTTGCACGCTCCACAGTATTCACTACACTGCAGCAGAATAGCCTGGACTGGCTTCTGAAGTCGATATGTTTAGCCAGGTGGTGATCCAGGACACAGGGCCTTTTCTGTGGTAGCACCACAGCTGCTAAGCAGAGCCTGGTAACCGGCAAGAGGGTTATTGGTGGAGAAGTGTGGGGAGGGCGAGCTACACCATTCTCTGCACCAGGGCTATTTTTGGGCAGGAACGCACAGGAACGGAGTTCCGGCTGCCTCCCAAGTTGGCCACGCCCAGCAGGAACTCATTAGCATGATAGGCCACACCCAACAGCAGAAACCCATTAGGATTGGCTACATTAGGGGTGTGTGGCCTAATATGCAAAGGAGTTCCTGCTACAAAAATGCCCTGGGTTTTGACAACAAACAAGGTAAACAGAATAAGAAGCAAAAGGTGGGTGTGGCTGGATGACCACACTTCTGGTAACATGGGAATGCGGCTTAATATGCTAATGAGTGGTGCAGTCAGGAGGTGTGGCCTATTATGCTAATGAGTGCTGCTGCTGGGTGTGGCCTATTATGCTTATGACTTCCTGCTGGACTTTTTCTACCAAAAAAGCCCTGCTCTGCACCATCGTTTTATCATAGAGAAGAAAAAGAAGAGGAGATTGGATTTATATCCCGCCCTTCAATACCCGAAAGAGTCTCAGTGCGGTTTACCAATCTCCTTTCCCTTCCCCTCCCCACAACAGACACCCTGTGAGGCAGGTGGAGCTGAGAGAGCTCTTTCAAGGACTGCTCCAGAGAGAACAGCTCTGAGAGAGCCATCATACCAGCAGCTGCATGTGGAGCAGCAGGGAATCAAACCCGGTTCTCCCAGATACGAGTCCGCGCTTCTAACCACTACACCAAACAGGGCCAATGCCAGGCTTTTTTGCACACTAGGCGAGGCTACCTTCTGGCGCACACACCCCCCCGTGCGACCACCAATTTTCAAACAAGGAAGAATAAAAAACCCAAAATTTGAAATTGCTAATTTTTTATAAATTGTGAGAACAAGTACTACAATCTCTTAAGTTTTCTCTCTCAAACAGAAAAACACAAACCACAAAGCATTTTGAAAAATCCCGTCAGTTGTAATGTTGAAAATTAAGTCTCTAATGTTTCCATTTCAGGCGCTTCAGAATCTCATTTTGCGTGCCTTTTCTTTAGCAAATTCTGTCACCAATTCCTTCAGGTCAAGCGCTGATGCTTCAGCACGTTCAACTGAGATAGTTACCAAACCCAGTAATCTCTTTTGCAGCATTGTTGAGCATATATGTATTTTTATAAGTTTGAGTTTTGAGAAGCTGCATTCACCACTTGCCACCGACACTGGAAGTGTGAGAAGGATGAGAAAAATCCAGGTGCACTGAGTGAGAAGAAGAAGAGGAGGAGACTGGATTTATACCCTGCCCTTCACTACCCAAGGGAGTCTCAGAGCAGCTTACAAACTCCTTTCCCTTCCCCTCCCCACTGACGGGCCGGCCAGGGGAGGCCTTGGAAGGATTGGGGAGGCATTTAAATGCCTCCTGGTGCCTTCCCCAGCCTGTCCAAGGGCAAGCTTGCCTGGGCTCCCCGCCAGGCACGCCAAGGGAAGGCAGTTTAAACTGCCTCCCCTCCCCTCCAAGGGTCAGCTTGCCCGGGCTCCCTGCAGCCGTTCCCCTTCCTCGGGCACCCCGCAGCTCCCCTTCCCTTCAAGGGGGGCTTGCCCGGGCTCCCCGCAGCTGCGGGGCACCCGGAAAAGCCAAGGGAAAGACATTGGGGTGTGGCCTATTATGCTAATGAGGTGCCCTGTCAGGGGTGTGGGCTATTATGCTAATAAGTTCCTGCTGGGCTTTTTCTACAAAAAAAGCCCTGGTTATGTTCCATAACTTTTTAAAGAGCCCCTCCCGAGAGCTGGAGGAGCCGGAATGACCTCTCGCATCTGATGTCCGAGCGGCAAGGTTGCCACTCGGACATCAGACGCGAGAGGCGGCATTTGCCCCTAGGAGTTCAAGGCCACCACCCCGGGGCTCAGGGAGGCGGGGAAGCTCCCCCCGTTGCTGCCGCCAGCAGCAGTGGCCATAACTTTTTAAAGAGCCCCTCCCGAGAGCTGGGAGAGCTGGAATGGCCTCTCGCGTGTGCTGACGCAGAGGCGGCATTTGCCCCAGGAGTCCAAGGCCACCATCCCAGGGCTCAGGGAGGCCTTGGACTCCTAGGGGCAAATGCTGCCTCTCGTGTCTGATGTCACCGGTAGTAGGTGATGTGAAAGACCTCTCTCTGCCTGAGACCTTGAAGACCCGCTGCCAGTCTGAGTAGTAGACAAAAGGGATGTTGCACCTGATTTTCAATGGACCAAGACTCCCCTGGCTACCAGCAGGAGATGGAGGGGAGGGTACTCTCCCTCAGTGGTCCAATGCCATGGAGTCCATCCTCCAAAGCGGCCATTTCCTCCAAGAAAATCGATCTCTGTGGTCTGGAAGTGAGCTGGAATTCCAGGGGATCCTCAGGTCCCACCTGGAAAGCCCTAACTGGGTCTGATTCAATACAAGTCACTTTTATGCAGAAATCTCATTGTGCTTTCCAGGGGTGGTAGGAGGTTTACTTTAGTGAGATGCTGAGGCTATGCGATTATTATTATTCGTTATTTGATTTATTAATCGCCCCATCCTAGCTTGCTCTGGGCGATGTACAACAGAGGCACAAAGCCATAAAACGTCTACACAAAACATCAAGAATGCAAAGTAACATTATTATTATTATTTTTGGTCATATGTCCACGTGGTGGTTGTGTGGCCTAATTTCCGTGGTGTGAACCTGCAAAGCCAAGGGGCTCAATGTTCCCTCTAAGCTCTGGAGTCTTGTGAGCAAAAATTCTACTTTGTGAGCTACTGGCATTAAAGTTGTGAGCAAGCAATTTGGCTACTGCATCAATTAGTTTGCTCTGGAGCCATCCTTCCTGAGCCAAGACAAAAAATGTGTGAGTTGGAGGCTAAAAATCTGTGAGCTAGCTCACACTAACTCAGCTTAGAGGGAACACTGGCTGCAGTACTTGGCACGCCTACTCGAGAGCAAGGCCACTGCGTGCAGCGAGACTGCCTAATTGCCGGCTGAACGCTCGCCTCGAAACCTGCGCACGTTTACTCGGGAGTAAGGCACAGCGGGTGTAGGGACACCGACTTCCGAGGAAGCACCCCCCCTGCCCACTTGGACGGGATTGCAACCAAAAGATCTTCCGGCGCGGAGGAGGTCGCAAAGGCGATCCAGGGTCCCGAAGGAGGGAGGAGCGAGCCGGGCCGGGAAGGCGGAGCCGGGACGAGTTTCCTTCCGAGCACGTGGGGGGAGACCCGGGCAGAGGAGCCAGCCATGGCCGCCGCGGAAGCCGCGCTGAGCGCCTGCCTGGAGGCGCTGCTGGGCAGCCGGAGCCACGCCAACCGCGTCTTCGAGATCCTGGAGCTGCTGCAGGTGGGCGAGGGGAGCGGGGCTCGGGAGGGTTCCTCTGGGCTCGTGCAGAGTGCCTTTGGCAGGAGGGATTTCAGCACAAACGTTTCCAGGGCACAGAGATGCTCTCTGGAGCCCCCGCACCTCTTTGGAATGCCGGGAGCATCAGCAGTGACAGGAAAGGTGGGGGGGGCAGTACTGGGGTTGCCAACTGCAGGTTGGGAAATCCCTGGAGATTTGGGGAGCGGAGGGAGCTCTGTGGTTGACCGTGCCATACAGTCTGCCGCTCTCCGAAGAAGCCGTTTCCACCGGAGGAGCTGATCTCTGTGGTCTGGAGATCGGTTGTGATTCTGGGAGATCTCCAGGTCCCTCCTGGAGACTGGCAACCCGAAGAGACTCGGAACATTTGCGGAGTGTGTCTTCTGACGACTGGGGACTTCTGACTCGCTGTAGGCGTCAGCAGAACTCGGGACTCCCCGTCAAAGTTCCCTCTAAGCTGTGGACTGTTGTGAGCAAAGATTCTACTTTGTGAGCTGCTGGCATGAAAGTTGTGAGCGAGCGATTTGGCTACTGCATAAATGAGTCTGCTCTGGAGCCCTCCTTCCTGAGCTAAGACAAAAATGTGTGAGCCAGAGGCTAAAAAACTGTGAGCTAGCTCACACTAACTCAGCTTAGAGGGAACACTGCTCCCCGTGCATTACTGATGTCGCCTAACGTAGCGGAATGATCTCTGCAGCCGGCTTCATTACATTTGAGTTACAGTTGCTTTGTGGTGCTCCGTTTCGTGGTTCCTTGATCCTGCTGTTGTTTTGGGGTGGGTTTGTTTTTTTAATGCCCCTGTATTAAAACAACTGTGTAGTTAGGATCCACTCCATGAAGAAGCGAGCTGCCAGCCATTAAAGCTTATGCCGGGATAAATAGAACAAAGTTTGAGTCCAGTGGCACCTTTAAGACCAACAAGTTTAATTCTGGGTATAAGCTTTTGCGTGCATGCATACGAAAGCTTATACCTAGAATTAAACTTGTTGGTTTCACTTGTTGGTGTCACTGGACTCGCTAGTCTTAGAAGGGTGTGACTCCGTTTAAGACTGCAGTGTAAATCAGCCAGTCAGTATTTTCCACACTGGTTGGGGCCTTTATGTCATGGAGTATTTCAGGTCCTTGTAAAACTGGCCTTGTACCTTTGGCCATATGTTTAGTATGGATAAAATTTTCTGCTCCTTCACCTTCCTTCCTGCAATTCTTGGCTCCTCTTCCCAACAGGCCGAGGAGGAAGAGGTTGTCCTGAGCGCTATCCGGACTTGCGGTCGGCTCTTTGGGGCTTTTCTAGAGCAGGGAGAACTGTTTGTGGGGCAGCTGCCTCCAGAAGAGGGACCTCTGCCAGGTGAGGAGTTCACACTGGGATCTGGCACTGGGCAATTTGGAGCCTAAGGGTAGAAAATCTGCCTCCAAAATCAAGGCTAGGTCAGCTCAGTTTGCAGTACTGATGAGCGCTGTGGATTGGTGCCGTGCAAACTGAGGCGTGTGTGGCTGCTTTGTATGGGTTGGCGCCAATGCCCCCTCTAAGCTGTGGATTCTTGTGAGCAAAAGTTCTACTTTGGGAGCTACTGGCATTGAAGTTGTGAGCAAGCGATCTGGCTGTGGCATAATTTAGTTTGCCCTGGGGCCCTCCTTCCTGAGCTAAGACAAAAATGTGTGAGCCGGAGGCTAAAAAGCTGTGAGCTAGCTCACACTAACTCCGCTTAGAGGGCACACTGGTCGTAACACAGTTTTAACGAGCTGCCAATTGTGTGCACAGTTGTGCTGGGGAGGTATTTTGCCCCCCTGGTGTCCTATTTAAATCAGGCCAAGAACTGCACCTCCAAGGTAAGTAGATCTGCATTTTCCCCAGTTGCTTTTGAATGCTCTTTTGCTGTTTAAGCTTCTTCTTGTTTATCAAATCTGTAACTACAAATAACAAAACCGTACCTCGAAAAAGATATTATAGCATTGGAAAAGGTACAGAAAAGGGCAACTATGGCTGCAGTCACACGGAACAGAAGCCACACAAGTGAGATGGAAAACAGGCGGAGTTTCCGGGCGCGATCTCACCAGCACATCTGGGAAGCGTAGCACTCCCATGGCACAACTGAGGCTTCCAGCCGAAACTGCGTGGCAAAAAACTAGTACCTCGGAGGTACTAGTTTCCGGAAACTGCGGGGCAAGGGCGGGCGTCTGATCGCGTTTCTGGTGGCATCCGGCGCCCGCCCATGTCCCCTTGCAAATAAGGTGGGGGGTTTTTGTCCACGTCTCTGTGGATGTGCACACGCACCCAACGGAGCATGCACATTCGTCGTGTACACACAAAAACAAAACAGTTTGCCGCGGTGCGCGCTTCCTCGTTGCGCGCCGGCTTGTCCTGTGATCAGCACCTCTCCCTTGCCATGGAACCTCCACAGTACCTCCACAGGACCTCCACGGGAGGTCTGATCGAGTAACTGCGCAGTAGTTTGCCCCAGGGCAAACAGCCACGCTTCTCCCCCGCAGTTTCCTGCCCGTGTGACCGGGGCCTAGAATGAGAAAAGGGTTGGAATACTTTCCCTATGAATAGATTGTGTGATTGTGGATCAGATGCAATAGAGACCTTAGGTCATCTTATGTTATTTTGCCACCAGTGGATTGACCCCAAATCCTGTTGGATTACTCCTATTTTACAAAGACATCACTTCCCTATGGAACCCTGGGTGATAACCATACTGCTAGCAGATGAGGACCCTGAAACGACTCGCTTGGTGGCAAAATATCTTTCAATAGTGTTTTTTTTAAGCGGCTTTGAAATGTTATAAGTAGTTTTATGTGTATAATTTAAAAATGTAAAAACTAATTTCCATAATATCATGGGATTTTATAGAATTCATTGAAGTTTATAAAATGTGGTCTGATAATACTGTTCGAGATTATGTTTACTAGCTTTTATGGTAAAGACGTTTGGTCTAAATTATCTTGTATGTAATGCATTTTATAGTTGCTGTTTGTATGTTTGGCTTAAGACCTCCATGAAATTGCTGAGCGGTCGGGTTAGAACAGATAAAAGGAAGTGTTTCTTCAACCAAAGAGTGATTAACACATGGAATTCACTGCCACAGGAGGTGGTGGCGGCTACAAGCATGGATGGCTTCAAGAGGGAATTGGGTAAACATATGGAGCAGAGGTCCATCAGTGGCTATTAGCCACAGGGTATAGATAGGAACTCTCAGTCTGGGGCAAGTGATGCTCTGTATTCTTGATGCTGGGGGGACCACAGTGGGACGGTTTGTGGCATTCTGGCTCTGCTGTTTGACCTCCTGATGGCACCTGGGTTTTGGCCACTGTGTAACACAGAGTGTTGGACTGGATGGGCCACTGGCCTGATCCAGCCTGGTTTCTCTTGTGTCCTTAAAACAGTGTTTCCAGCCCCCCTCCTTCCTATGCAGTGTATTTGATAGCCTGTTGGGAGAGAATGGAGGCCAATCTTGGCCCAGTTCAGGTAGGGCTTTGTGCATCTCCAAATCTCTCTCTCCCCTCCTCCCCCCTCCAGAAAGCCACAGCGCAGAAGAGAAGTACAAAATCTGGATGCGACATCGGTACAACAGCTGTGTAAACTGCCTTGTGGAGCTGATGAGCCATGAGTCTTTCCAAATCAAAGTGAGTCTGGAGGGGGGGGGGGGTCTAGGTGGTCAAAGTGAGTCCAAAGGGGGTCTGGGTTCTACCATTTCAGGTGTGTGTGTGTGGGGGGTTACAAGACTGAGAGTTCTGGATTACACCTCTGCCCACAAAGAAACCACTTTCCTGCACGTAGAAAGTTATCGTGCTCAACGTTTTGCCTCTTCCCCGGTTTGCATTCTATGTGCAGGGAGTTCATTTCTTTTTGATGAAGGCACTGTTGGAAGTGGTATAGCCATCTCAGAGCGCATTAGGCCAGGGTGACCTCATATCTGCAGTTAGCCAAAGTGTTAGAATAATGTTCTTGTATGAACGTTCTTGGACTCCCTGCTTTTGGCGCAGGGTGTCCCAATTCCTTTTCCGTGGCAGTCCTGGCAACCGGTGCCGAGAGTAGGTGTCCCAGGGCAGTGTTGGAAGCATCCCAAAGATGCCATCGCGCCCGTGAAGACCACATAAAGGGAGTGTCTCCAATAAGTGTGTTGCATTTTCAGTTCTCTTTGTATCTTCTGTTTTTAAAGGAGTGTTCCCTCTGTACCTTGATGACATTTGTTGAGTTGGAAGCTAAACACCCCCTGGTCAAAGCCGAGTGGAGCTTCAACTTCCCACAAGAGCTTTTAAAGGTAGGTTGCGAGAGCTGCTGTTGGGGGTTCTTGGTGGCCTGGAAGGTGGAGGTTCAGGGCTGGACTTCCTTGAGAGCCAGGTTTGGTGTAGTGGTTAAGAGCGCAGGCTCTAATCTGGGAGGACCGGGTTTGATTCCCCACCCCTCCACGTGCAGCTGCTGGTGTGATCTTGAGTCAGTCATAAGTTTTCTCAGAGCTGTTCTCTCAGGAGCAGTTCTCGAGAGAGCTCTCACAGCCCTACCTACCTCACAGGGTGTCTGTTGCGGGGAAGGGAAGGGGAAGGGATTGTAGGCCGCTCTGAGTCTCCTTTGGGTAGTGAAGGGCCGGGGTATAAATCCAGTCTCTTCTCTTCTTCTTCTTCTCCCTCTGTATTGGGTAGCAGGAACTGCTTGGCACTTGCCTTTATGGAGAGGCTGCAGTGATCAGATCAGAGTTGGGCTTCCACTTGCAGCTAACCACACAGCTGGGGAAGGCACTGTGCAGGACTGCCCTGTCTGGTTGTCTTCAGCACATAATATTCACAGATGAATTGCCCTTAGCCATGGAGGTTCCACTCGAACTAGCAACGTTACCTAAACCTCGAGGGGACAACATCCTCTGGGGAAATATGGGCGCTGTGGTGAAATGGTTTAATATTTACTTCTTCTAGAGTCCACCCTTTGTCATGAAGACTCAAGGTGGATTACAGCCAATGCTCCCTCTAAGCTGTGGAGTCTTGTGAGCAAACACTCTACTTTGTGAGCTGCTGGCATTAAAGTTGTGATTGAGAGATTTGGCTACTGCATCAATTAGTTTGCTCTGGAGCCATCCTTCCTGAGCTGAGACAAAAATGTGTGAGCCAGAGGCTAAAAAACCGTGAGCTAGCTCACACTAACTCAGCTTAGAGGGAATACTGATTACAACTAAAAGTGATGCAGTAAGAGTGGGGTAATGCAGACAACCAGCATTTACTCCAGAGTAACTGTAAACAGGAGCTGCGGTGGCTCAAGTGGTTAAGACACTGAACTGCAGGCTGTGGAAGGTCAGTAGTTCAGCAGTTCAAGACCCGGGTGCCGCATGACGGAGTGAGCTCCTGTCTCTAGTTCCAGCTCCTGCCAACCTAGCAGTTCGAAAGCAAGAAATTGCAAGTAGATAAATAGGGACCACTTCAGTGGGAAGGTAACAGAGTTCCGTGCGCCTTGGTGTTTAGTCATGCCGGCCACATGACCACGGAAACGTCTTCGGACAGCGCTGGCTCTTCGGCATTGAAACGGAGATGAGCACCGCAACCCTAGAGTCGGATTCGACTGGCTTTCGAGCAAGGGAACCTTTACCTAACTGTAAACAGAAGTAAAGCACACTGTACCTAAATGCACAGTATAATACCGAGAGTAATGCAAGAATTGTGAGACTGAAGGAAAGCACAATACAAAATACACACTAGGCCATGCGAGACAACTGGATCACAAAATTAGAAGACAATCTAGTAGAAACAGCATAATACCGCCACTGAAGGGTACCAACGTCTGACTTTAATTACATCTTTAATTCACTTTATAAAAATACCGTTTAGAATAATTCTAACAGTGTCTCCTGTGCACCTGATTTCCTTGCCAGTTGGTGGTGAAGGGCCTAATCTCGACAGAGGAGGACTCCTCCCTCCTGATCTCTCGCTTCCAAGAGTACCTGGAACACGACGACGTCCGGTTCTTCGCCATGAAGGCGGTGGCTGAAAACATCGGGAACGTCATGCAGAAGACCAAAGAGGTACCGGGAATCTCGCGGCGGAGAAGCGGAGCCCAGGACGGGGGCTGTGCAGATGAGAGAGTGGAGCTGGCTCGGGGCTTAATGGCTGGGATGGTCGGGAGCAGATGCCGCATTTTGTCCTGCCAGTGGAGCTGGTTTGACTTTCGGAGTCACATTCTCTACTTGGGGCCCATAAGAGTAGCCCAGCTGGATCAGACCAGTGGTCCCTCCAGTCTTGCATCCAGACTCACGCAGTGGCCGGCCAGTGTCTGTGGAGGGCCAGCAAGAGGGCATGGAGGCCGAGGCCTTCCCTTGATGTTAAGAACAGGAGAAGACCGCCTCTCCCCCTATGAGCCCCGTAGGGCTTTACAGTCTGCTAATCAGCATCTCCTGGTGGTCCCCGGCCCCAGGGACATCCGTCTTGCCTTGACTAGGGACAGGGCTTTTTGGTGGAATGAGCTCCTGTAGGAGATCCAGGGTCCTGTGGGACCTTTTACAGTTCTGCAGGGCCTGCAAGACGGAGCTCTTCCGCCAGGCTTTTAGCTGAGGCGGAGGGCGTCCCGTCCCCCCCTCTCTTGGGCCTCCCCTTCGGCTGGTCAGATCTGTGTTACTGTCCGGGAACCCCAGTCTGAAATAGACCTCATCTGTTGAGGATTTGATTAGAAACATAAGAATATTATTGTATTTTATCTGATGTGTTTTAGTTGTTTTAAATTGTTTTGTGTATTATATTTGATGGAACCCGCCCTGAGCCTGCTATGCAGGGAGGGCGGGATACAAATTTAATAAAATAAATGGATAAGAAGAGCCCTGCTGGATCAGGCCAGTGGTCCATCTAGTCCAACATCCTGTCTCACACAGTAGCCAACCAGTTCCTCTGGAGGGCCAACAACAGGTCATAGAGGCCGAGGCCTCCATAAGAACATAAGGAGAGCCTTGCCGGATCAGACCAGTGGTCCATCTAGTCTAACATCCTGTTTCACACAGTGGCCGACCAGTTCCTCTGGAGACTGGAGGGTCAACAACAGGGCAGAGAGGCTGAGGCCTCCATAAGAACATAAGGAGGGCCCTGCTGGATCAGGCCAGTGGTCCATCTAGTCCAGCCTCCTGTCTTGCGCAGTGACCAACCAGTTCCTCTGGAAGGCCAAAAACAGGGCAGAGAGGCAGAGGCCTTCTCCTGATGTTGCCTCCTGGCTCTGGGATTCAGTGGTTTTCTCCTGCTGAAAGTGGAGGTTGCCGTGAGTCACCGTGGCCAGTAGCCAGTGATGGGCCTCTCCTCCACGAAGGTATCTAGTCCCTTTTAAAAGCCATCTGTGCTTGTGGCCATCGCTACGTCCTCTGGAAGTGAACGCCACAGTTTAATCATTCATTGATCCTCTGGCCTAGTGCTGGTTGGTCTGATCTGTCGCTGGCAGATATCTGGTGTGTGTACATGTGCGCTCATGAAATGCCTCTTTGTGCGCAGAGGTCCATTGGAGCTGCGCAGTCTCCACAATAGAGACCTCTTACCAACCACCACACTGGCCATGGTGGTGCAACTTGTGCATGGCTGTATGGTACAATTTAAAAACAGTTCCCAAGTAACAGTAGCACTTTTCCGTACGATTTAGGCTCTGACCCAACTCCTAACTCCTGTGTGGTGTAGATGTTAAAACAGTGCAGTGTACTGGTGGAGAGGGTTAGACTGGTATCTGGAAGACTCGGGTTCGAATCCCCACACGTGCCATGGAAGCTTGCTGGGCGACCTTGGGCCAGTCACGCTCTCTCAGCCTGACCTACCTCACAGGGTTGTTGTGAGGATAAAATGGAGGAGACTAGAGTGATGTAGGCCGCCTTGGGTCCCCATTGAGGAGAAAGGCTGGGTACAAATGAAGCAATTTTTTTTTTAAAAGTTCCTGTTTCAAATGCACAGGGTCAGTTGGCGGGCGGGCACCCAATGTTCCCTGTAAGGTGTGGAGTCTTGTGAGCAAAAATTCTACTTTGTGAGCTACTGGCATTAGAGTTGTGAGTCAGTGATTTGGCTCCCGCATAAATTAGTTTGCTCTGGAGCCACCCTTCCTGAGCTAAGACCAAAAATGTGTGAGCTGGAGGCTAAAAAGCTGTGAGCTAGCTCACACTAACTCAGCTTAGAGGGAACACTGGCGGGCACCTCTGTTTTTTTTGTCTCACGGAGAGTGCCAGCACTTGAGCACCTTCCCCTGGGGCTGAGGTGGGCGGGGCTTCACGTCTGTGCTGTTTTTGTCCCTTCCCCCAAACAGCCACTCCCTGTTTACCAGAAGAACGCCTTCACCTTCGTCTCGTCCATCTCCATGCCGGGCAACGAGAGCGAGATCAAGACCTTCCTGGTGAAGCACGGTGAGGCAAGCGTGACGTTAATGGTGGCGTTCTGGCAGCTCTCTGCAGACGCTTAAAGTCATAAGGACAGAAGAGAAGCCAGTGGCCCATCCAGTCCAACATTCTGTCACTTAATGGTCAGAAATACCAGGTGCCATCAGGAGGTCTGGCCCCACTGCTGGACCTCCTGGTGGCACCTGGTAGTTTTGAGAACCTAAACAGGTTAGTCAAGAATAGAAGAGGGCCAACTCTAAAAATCGAATTATGAAACATACAAAAATATACATGTGTTTATTAAACGCAAATTAAAATAACAAACAAGGGCCCATTCATACCTCATATACAAATATAAAAATACAAAGGCTGATGAAATAGACCTAACGCGTTTCGGCCTTCACAGGCCTCCCTCAGAGGTCTAATGCAAATAGAACATGTTGGCTGATATGTAAGAATATATACAATCAAACATATACAAAATATGAAATAAAGACCAGAAAACAATTGTTCCAAAGTTAAACCCCTGGGCAAAAATACAAATGAAGCCTCCAGTGCAATCACATGTCCGGTAGTACTTCTCTCTGGTCAACTATATATTCTCCTGAGATTGTAGAGCCAAATGTTCCCAACGACAGAATGTTGGGCTGGATGGGCCAGTGGCCTGATCCAGCATTGGCTTCTCTTCTGTTCTTATGACTTTCAGCGTCTGCAGAGAGCTGTCAGAATGTACGGTGCTTTTTGCAGGCAGTGTGAGGGGGTGGTTAGAGTGTCAGACTAGGATCGGGGGGGGGGCACGCTGTCACAAACCTTTAATGGGTGACTCTGGCCACTTACCTTCTCTCAGCCTAATCTAACTCATGGGCTTGTTGTGGTGATAAATGGGGGGGGGGGGGAACATT